AAATTCTGAAAAGCTTCACTTTTGCTAGCTAGAAACAATACCCAAGTGAAACGAGAATAATCATCCACAATTACGAAAGCATAAGACTTACCTCCATAGCTTACCACATTGGTAGGTCCGAAGAGATCTAGGTGAAGTAGTTCAAGTGGTCTTGATGTAGATATTACTGACTTACTCTTGAAGCTCGACCTTGTATGCTTTCCTTTAGCACAAGCATCACAAAAGAATTCCTTTTTGCCTTTTAACTTAGGCAGACCTCTAACTAGCTCAAGATCACTTAGTTTAGACAGAATTCCTATACTCACATGTCCAAGCTTCCTATGCCAATCTATTTGATCATTTTTCTCTAAGGACATTAGACATGTTACCTTAAAACTTTCTTTGTCATCTAGATTTATGACATATAACTTATTCTTACGTCTACCGGTGAAAAGTACTTTCTTATCCACCAATGACTCGATGTAGCAACAATCATGTTCAAAAATTATCCTCTTATCTTTGCCACACATTTGACTAATCGAAAACAGATTATGCTTAAGACCTTTTACTAACATCACATTTTCAATGCATGGATCTGAACCAACTGTTCCTCTTCCTGTTATGTCGGCAGCATTATTGTCACCAAAAAATACCTTACCACCTTTACCTTCTTTGAGAGTGGTGAATAGGTTTTGATTTCCTGTCATGTGGTGTGAGCATCCGCTGTCTAGTATCCATTCTGTTGCCTCCATGCTCACTTGGAAGCAAACCTGCGCCATTAGCAGTCATGCAGTTTTGGGTTTTTGTATCCAGACTTTCTTGGATACAGTTTGTTTGTGATCTTTAAGAGAACAAAATCTACTAATGTGACCGACTTGATGACATGTAAAACAAGTTCTAAATTTATCATTTTGTATTTTCTTTCTACATACTCTCCTAATATGCCCAAATTTATGACAATAAAAACATTCTATGTTTCTATATCTTTGTTTTAAAGTTCCATTCCTCTCATGCTTTATTGCTTCTTCAAAAATCTTCGACTTACCTTTGCTACACAAATTTGATCCTAATTTTTCGCAACTTCCCTTGGTGGAATGATTTAGGCAAGATTTACCTTCCTTTTTCAGAGATTCAATCTTATTCCCTTCTAATGATACTTGAAGTTTTGCCGTGAGACTCGATTTCTCATTTTCTAAAACTTCAACTTTCTTCGCAGTTTCATCTAACTCTTCTTTTAATCTGATAGCCTCCTTCTTTAGTCCATCATTTTCAATGCTTATATTGGCATAATCAGATTTCAGTTTAGAGTATTTTACTTTAACATTTCCAAACGCTAACTGAATTTCCTTGATAGTGGATACTAATAGATCATCATCACTATAGTAATCACTGTCGCTAAAATGAGTATGGTTGGAAGGTTTTACCTCGTTTGAGTTACGTCTCTCTGATGGCTCTTCAACATCAATTGCCATGTAGCTTTCTTCTCTTGTTTCCTCTCCATCCTCATCTTCTTCTTCGCTACAGCTCCATGTTGCAGCCATGGCTCGTTCTTTTCTTGCTAGAGGGCATTCAGCCTTGATATGCCCAGTTTTTCCACATCTAAAGCATCCGGTAGTGTTTTGAACTTTAACCGGCTGAAATTGTTCAGTCCTGTTTTTGTGGAAAGTTCTTGATTGAGGATATTTTGATGTACCACCTTCTTTCTCGACTTCTCTATTCTTGTTGATGAAGTTTCCTCTTCGTTTTTCTCTTCTCACTCGAAGTAGTTTACTAATTTGTTTGCTTAGTAGAGCCAATTCTTCATCCTCCATATCATCGAGATCTTCTGTGTCTTCATTGTATGTGGTAGCCTTGAAGGCTATCCCCTTTTTCCCTTTATCATTAATTCCCTTGTTGAGCTTGTCTTCATGAGTTGCTAATGACCCGATGAGTTCATCAATAGCTAACTTCTCTAGGTCTTTAGCTTCCTCTATTGCAGTTACCTTTGGAGTCCATTGCTCTGGGAGACTCCATAAGATTTTTCGAACAAGATCTCCACTTTCATATGATTTCCCAAGATTCTCCAGACTGTTCACAATGTTTGTGAAACGCTCGTACATTTGCCGGATCGTTTCTCCTTCTTCCATTTTGAACAACTCGAATTGCTGTTTTAAGGAATTAATTCGAGATGTTTTGACTTGAGAGGTACCTTCATAAGTAACCTGGAGTTTATCCCAGATTTCCTTAGCAGTCTTGCAACCGGCAACTTTGTGATATTCTTCTGGACCGAATGCACAATACATGAGATTAGTTGCCTTGCAGTTTTGCTGAAATTTCTCAAAGTCCTCGTCTGTCCATTTTTCTTGATCCTCCTTGAGCTCATACGGACCCTTGATTACTCTAGCCCAGAGTTTTGGATCTGTGGATCCAACAAATAATTCCATACGATTTTTCCAATATCCATAATTAACTCCTTCAAACCTGGGAGGCCGATTTTGAGAGAATCCGTCAGCCAAATATAGTGGAGCATTATTCTTGGAACCCGACGCCATTTCGATTTGCACCGGAGGTCGTTGAACCTTGTTCTACGGTGACCGTGCTCTGATACCACGTGTTGGTTGCGTCGAGCGCGAGACTTTATACCTGCACGTCACTTTCTCGACCACAAACTTAGATCAAACGTTATCTAAAGAGAGTGACAGAACTTTATATCCTAGACCACCTAATAACCTTCGGTTTCTTTCAACTAAGATTTTGATTATAAAAACTAAATCCCACGACCTTGAAACACAACTAGTACAAGCTAATTAATTAGTGTACTTCCCTTACTTGTACTAATAATTGGAAAACCCTCTGTTGGAATATTAGCCCTTAACCGAATGGGCTTATGAGCCCAAAAGCAAGTTGTGAGTTTAGTAAATCCAACCCCAAAAGCCCGGTTCTGTTACCAACTCTACCCGGCCACTTTTCTAAGTGATGAGACAGAAATGACAGAGTATTAACTCCAACTCAGTCTGCCTTTCCCACTCCTGAGATTTCGATCAAAAGGAGACCTGCTCCCTATCGAATAAAGAACAGAGAAAGAACAGTAATATCACAGCAAAATGAACCCAGACAAAATAATGAACTCTGTAAACACAAACCCAGCTTTACTGATTCCTCAACCCTGTCTGGAGACGACGCCTTCCCTGCTACTCTTGGAACGAGTTTTCTTGCTCAACCAGTCCTGAAACTGAAAACACACAGAGGGACACACAGACTGGAAATGGAAAACAGAATATGAACTAGGCACGCGATTTTTACGTGGTTTCCAGTATTGGGAGAATGAGGATCCCAATACTGACTACTCCACGGTCGGAGAATCACGATAGTGTGATCTCCGACGATTCACTATGATTTTGCGTTGAAGTTCGTCGATACAAGCTATCTACCCAAGAAACTTTGATCAATCTCAACCCGATTGATCAAACACTCTCTTCTCAAACCCGAATTGCTTCCCCAGCAACTCGAAACCAGTGTTTCCCCAACACTAACCCTCAAAGCAATTATCCCCGAACCCTTTGAGAAAACCCCCTTTCCTATCAACCTTGCTACTCTCACAAAATCCCCTTTTGTCTTAGCTAGCTTTGTTGATCTCTTGAAAGGTTACCATTGGTGGTTCTTCAGGTCGCCTTTTATAGGGAGGAATATGACCGTTAGTCATTCAAATTCCTTCCCTATTTGTGCTGATCTGATTGAGAACTCAATCCTCTAATTTGATTTGTAGTGAGTTGGTCATTTGAGCCTCATTGTGCACTGTTGTATCCAATCTTCTTGATCTGATTTCTTCTCTAATTTTTCAGCCGTTAGAACCTTCCTTCTTTGTGTTGATTTGCTAGGTAGCAAATCAGCATCTTTGAGCATAGCTAGCCATTGAGAAGTTCTTTCCTTTATTGTTCTTGCTGATTGCAGAATCTCTCCTCCTTTATGCTGTCTTTGATTTTCTTTCCTTTACTTACAAGATTGCAGCATTTTCCTTCTTTGATTGAGGCCATTGATATGCTTGACTCAACATTAGGTAGTCTATTGTGACAAACAAAGATATTATGACAACATATTTTGTCATTACGGTTGTCATAATCTAGTGATTTTGGGAGAATTTTCGTCCTATTACACGATTATATTTTGTCATAACTGTATATTGTGATGACTACATTTTGTCACAAGTATTTATTGTGACAACATTATTTGTCATAATAGAATATTATGATGAATATACTTTGTCATAACTGCATATTATGACGAGTATAGGTTGTTAGGAAAGGTGGTTTAATTTTCTCATGGCTAATATAACAAGAGAACCATTTGGCAGACAATGTACATAATGTGACGACATGACATTGTTGTCACATTTGACATGCTTCAAAAATTTCATAATTCGAAATTTTTTCCTGCATTGCAACCTGTAATGGAAAGATTATCAAAGATCCAAAATATTACAACCATTTCCATAGCAGTCTAACTCCTTGTTCAGCATAACCAAACATTCTAAGTTGTCCACCATTACATAAAACATTCTAACTCCTTTGCGGTTCTTGGATTCTCCTTTGGTCCATACTTCACCTTTTTCTTCAGGACCTTCTAAACAATCTCATGACTAGCTCCTCAATTCAATGATGATACGGTGATGAGCTCGATCCTCTTGGACTTCTCATGAGAACAATGAAGCTCTGGTCGAACAGACAAGACTTGTGAACCGATTTGTTCTCAGCATTTTCTTGGATTAGTTTTTGAAGCTCTTGGTTTTCAACCTTTTGTAGAATTTTCCATGGAACTAGAGAAGAATCTTTTAGCTCCAACAAGCAACAAATAATGGGACAACAGCTAACGAATGACCCGTAAGTGATGCAACTGGCTCAAAGACGCTTGTGGGTGCATTATATCTCTATGCCAAGATTGATAAATCCTGCACTCATATAAACATTTTAACAGTTATAAGTTTTTCATCCTATCAATGGAGAGCTTGAAAGGAACGTTGACTCCGCACCTCCCAGGAATTTTCTTTAACAGATGTCGATCAGTCCTTTCTTTAACATCTGGAAGACATGCTTCAGACAGTTGTAGATTCCCTTCTTGTCCTCGGCGGTCTTCGCTTCGTCGGAGATGTTGCGCATCTCGCCACAACAGGCTGGAGGGACGACATTCTGGTCTCCTTTGCCTTCGGAATAGCTCAAGCACGGCTTGGCTTTGCTCCTCACGTCGTTACATCCGATGACGCCCACGTCAGATCTGGTAGCGGAGTGGCTGATCAGGAGAAGGAGAGTGGAAACGACCATGATGTTGACCATCACGAGAATTTGCAGAGACTCTGATCCATCTCAAGTTCGGCGCTTTGCCTTCCATACGTAGTAATTGACCTCGCCGCAGCCTACCCTACACTTCCTTTCTTTACTGCAGTGCTTCCCCTCTCTCTTCCTCTGCTGTGTATATCAGAAGAAAAGTGCAGCTGGCTTTGGTAATGGTTGGTGTGGTGTTTTAGGTTAGATCTCTGATCAATTAGGAACAAGACCATAACACAAAAAAATCAACTTTGAAATTACCTCTGTTGAAGCTGGGACTCATCAATGGAAGTAGTAGGACAGTGGGAGGAGGTGGCACCGGCCGGAGCAAGAGCCAGGAGGACGGACGTTGGCAGAGCAGGGCCAGGAGAACGAAGAGTCAAGAAAGGCAGCGGGGCTGGAGAACCTTCTTCGACGGCCAGAGTAAGGGAAGGACCACACTAGTCTTTTTCGACGGCCATAGCTTGGTTCGTCGTTGGGTTCACCGGCAGGAGGTCGCCAAATCGCTGGTTCAAAATTGATGAGCAACAGCGAGCGACAACAGGGAGCGGCAAAGGGCAATGGGTTTTGGGGTGGAGCTTTCAGAGCTCGTCTCTGGTTCCTCACAAAATAGAATTAGGGTTCAATGAGCCCGACGTTTTTTCCTTTTTTATTTTTTAAGTTTCAGTTTATATTAGCACTGATAATGAGAAGAAGTGAAAAAAGAATCAATTAATTAAATGGGTATTAGGGGCAGGTGGGTGGGTGATTTGAATTTTTCAATTACAGGGAAAATGTGGGCGGCTTGGGGAAATTTTTTGCGCAGGACATGGTTGTAAGTTGGGCTGGGCATGGTCACATTTTGGGTGGGGAATGGGATTTGTGTGATTTCAACAAGCAAATCTGACGAAAATGTCTTTTGTCAAAAATGAAATCACTATATTATGACGAACATGCCTTTTGTCAAAATCGAAACCACTATATTATGACGAACATACCCTTTTGTCAGCTCATCGTGGGATTATTGCTATCTATTGTGACAAAATACTTTGTCATTGAAACATTTCAGGAATGCATATTTTGATAAACTTAATTGTGACACAAAATATTTGTCAAATTACTCACTTTAAATGACCAAATATTCCGACAACAAGAAATTTGTCACTGTTGAGTCTCTTACATCCCGATATGGGACGCCTATTTTGACAAAATTAATTGTGACACAAAATATTTGTCACATTGCTCATTTTAAATGACGCCTTATTCTGACAACAATAATTTTGTCACATTAGGCATACCAAATAGGACATATACTATTTTTTTCATATCATCGTACCTATTATGACAAACAGAAAATGACAAAATAATTTATTTTTCCTAATAGGCCGAATTTGTGGTAGTTGTCCCCAAGGTGACAGTCATCACCCTCCTCCTCGAACAAACACATGACCTTGGCAGTCCGACACTTGTGACCGATTGTAAAGAGCTTGTCACAATTGAAATACAGACCTTGCGCCCGCCGGAGCTTTTGTTCCTCCCAATTGAGCCACTTCACTAGCCCTAGTCCACAAGTGGAGTTCGAGCCGCTCAGCAACACCAGAGCTGGCAGCTCAAGGTGGCGGCAGTCCGCCGTCATACACCAGTTACGTGCCAACCAGGTCCTGCTGTGTTCATCCTATTCAGCGGATGACGAGCTTCTTGAACTCTCGTTGATATTCACGCAAAGACCTAGTTTGCCGGACACGCGACAAAGCTTCGCCGCCACTCACACCTTCGGTAGGGCCGAATCTCGGCCACAAATCCTGCTCAAACAACTCCCATGAAATCGGCTCGCCTGTGTCCCTGTTGGTCCTCTTCAGCCACTGTCACCACCGGGTAGCTTTGGCTTCCAGATGAAAGGAAGGCAACGCCACCAGCTGACCCTCGGTAACTCGTTGTATTCGAAGAACTGCTCAACGCGCCAGAATCAAGCTCCTGGATCCTCACCTACAAACTTGGGAAACTCCAACCTGGCCAGTTTGGTGAGGAAGGTGGCACCGCCGCTGCCCCTGCTACCCCTGCCTTCCATTCGCACCCGCCGATCATCGCCCGCGCGCCTTGGTTACCGACGCATTGGACTCCCCATTCGTCTTTGCCGCTGACTCATCATTCTCGGTAGCACCCGTCTCGTCTCCCTTCACGCTGCCAGCCTCCTTGCCCATGACTGACTTCCCCTCCCGCCGATCGAACCGCTCCGTCAGCAATCGAACCACCTGCAACACTTCCCCTAAACTCTGCACGAAGCGTACAGATGGTCGTACTCAGCTCCTCCTGACCAAGCTACAGCTGCTCGACCTCTGCCTCCAGCACTGAAAACTGCTCCGTCGCCGTCCCGCCCATGGCTCTGACACCAATTGAGGAAACGTAACCCACGTTCCAAGAGTTTGCTTGTAACTCACAAGCGGGAGATCGTCGTTGGTGTCGATGAACCTTTAGTTTATTATTCAATAACCCGGACTAATGTCGAACTTACAATATATATAGATTGAAAACCGAAACCCTACCCTAGCCCTATCCGACTCGAGGAGACCTCTTCCTATTCAACTACTAACTGAACTACTAATCTAATAATAAAGTAGCTAACGACCCAAACCCCACAAGCCCATTTTCCCTACGTCGGCCACGTAGCCCTGACGTGTACCCATCACAGGCACACAAGGCCGCTAGAAGAAAAGACCTCACATATCGAAAAAAAATACAGTGAAACCAATAGCATAAAACTGCAGTCCCTGACACCTTGTTGGTTTGCATAGAGCATTGTCTCGATTGGATAAACGCAATTCAACTGCATTGGCAGCTTCCCTTGATTCCCTAGTCATATTCAGGGCCCCTGGATTATGGCTTGCACTGATTATAAATCCACCATTTGCTTGTGTTGAAGTTTTTGTTAATTAACAAGGAATTGGAAGTGTTTTAAGATTTGTTACCTCATGAACAGCTGGTAAGAGCATATATAAGAAATGTTTACTTACCTTCCTTTTATTGATAACAACGGAGACAACTGGTGTAGATACTAGATAGGATACCATAGCTGTAACAAAAGGCACATACTCACAAAGAAGGCCCAGGGAAGGAAAACCATAATACATTCACATGCACCACTAGGCACATTGTAGTAGGGGTGGGCATCCGGTTCGGTAAACCCGAACCGAACCGGACCGAACCGAATTTGAACCGAACCGAAACCGAACTTGTGTTGTTCGGTTCGGAATTCGGAAGAGAAATGACCCTAATTCGGAAACCAGGGTTCTTCCAACCGAACCGATGTTCCGAACTTCGAACCGAAAAACCGAAAAGTATGGATTGGGCTCAATCTCAACTCACCCCCAACCCAAATAAACTCAACTCACCCCAGCCCAAATAAAATCCAAACACTCAACTCACCCCCAGCCCAAATAAACTTAACTCACCCCAGCCCAAATAAAATCCAAACACTCAACTCACCCCCAGCCCAAATAACCAAACACTCAACCCTAAACCTAATGAATTGAACGAGAGAGGCAGCAGCTGCAGCTCTCTTCTCATCTCTCACAAGCAGCGCAGCGGGCAGGGGCAGCCACCACACACCAGCTATCCATCATCCTTGCAATTCAAACGATCGACAACATCAACCTTTCGCCGCCGTCCGCCGGGATTGACCTTTCTTCGCCGCTTTCTCTTCCCCGCAGCAGCACCCTCTTCTCCACCTGAAGTCCTGAATTGAAAATAGAAACAGAGACTAAAACGATGCTATTGAAGATTTGAAGCTCGAGCCTCGAAAGAGATAAAGTATGCCAAAAAATGACATGCATGCTTAGATCTAAAGCCATACGAACCTTCATCGTCGTCCGCCGAAGTTGTCACCATCGCTGTCTTCAATCGCCGTTGCCGACTGCCGTGGTCCGCCGATTTACTTTCTTCCTTTTTGAACTCTTAACGATCTACGCCGCTTCGAGACCGGAGAAGGAGGAGAGATCTCTACCGCCCGTCGTCGTGTAGCTCTGGTGTGCTCTGCTTCGATCTCTACCTTGTGCTCGTCGTCGCTACATCGTTTGTTGGTTGGAGAGAGAGAGAGAGAGAAAGAGAGAGAGAGTGCATATGAGGAGTCAAGGGGAGAAATAAGAAGATAGGCCGAGAGAGTAGTCGTTTTTCCCAAATAGGTGTCCACAAAACGCAGGAGTCAAGTGGCCAAAACGCAAACACCTTCTATTTTCGGGTTTGGAGAAAAAACCGAACCGAACCGAGTTATAATTCGGTTCGGACAGACCGAACCGAATTACAACTCGGTTCGAATTCGGTTGGGGTGTTGGGGATATCGGAAATTCGGCATGTTCTGGTTCGGTTCGGTTCAAACCGAACCGACCGAACGCCCACCCCTACATTGTAGCATCTAATTCAACCCGAAATAGAGATATAGCCGGGCATCTTCTTCATGTTTCAAACTTCTATTTCATTAGAGACCTTCTAGTGTGATTTTATAGCACCCATGTTATCTAAAAAAGGTAATATGTTGGGGAAGTACACCTCCTAAGTGGCTGGTCACACATCATTAATGGCAATCTTGTAAATAATAAATCAATCCATAAAAGTGTAGGTACAAATTATAGTTGTACCATATCGTATAGGTATAAATTTGAGTTGTACCAATGAAATATTTGTTTCAAAAAGTGTAGGTACAAAACAAAATCGTACATAGCGTGTAGTTACAATTTTAGCTTATACCATAGAGATTTTTTTTTTTTTAAAGTGTAGTTACAACTTTAACTTGTACCACAACGTGTAGGTACAAGTTTGGATAGAACCATAGAGGAATTTTTAGGAAAGTGTATGTACAACTTTGCACCATAGCGTATAGGTAGAAGTTTGTATTGTACCATAGAGGGAATTGTTCGAAACTGTAGGTACAACATAAAGTTGTACCGTAGTGTATAGGTACAAGTCTAGGAAGTGTAGGTACAACTTAAACTTGTACCATAACGTATAGATACAGGTTTTGGTGG